GTAGAAAAGGATGCAGTTCTCTTGTTGAATAATAATTTTAGTTTATATACTATGATTTTTGCTTTAAAATACATTTTGACATCTTCAACTAGAAAAGCCCTATAAGTTTAGAGCAGCCTCTAACAGTTGAAGTTGGATTGGTAGCACTTTCTTCTAAGAACTCATAGTTTAATGACAGGGTCATCAGGAGGCACAAGTAACTTACTTGTCTTAAGAGCAGAGGAACGAAGATAAAGGAGGTTATCATAGGAACATTCCATCTACTTGGCATACAATGTCATGCTAAGAGACCACCACTTGCAAGAGCAGGAAACACCTGCCATAAGATGAGAAGGGTTGTGGATACCACAGTGAAAATGCTCAGCTTACTGACATCAGTGTTTACACACAGAGGTTTGTTGCAGTGAGCAGCAAGTTACACCACTCCACCATACAAGTTCAATATTGAACAATCCACACATGGCATCAGAAAGTGTGACTCATGACTGTCCTCCAGTCACACCGGTTTTCAAAGTGGGAGGCATGGAGCAGGTTGCCAGCAACTGCGAGAGCACAGAAATCAATGGTTTGTACACACGTATGCACAGAAACAGCCTCAGTTTAAATAATTTTCCAGCATAAATCCTTTGCAAGAAAATGCAATTACACAAATGCTCACTAAAAAAAAAAAAAAATTAAAAAATCAAGTGTTAGTTAGCTCAAAACAAACAAACTAAAAAACCCTCCAGCTTGCTGAATCAGTGCAAGCGTCAAATGGTATCAGAAGTGATAGAGCTCTGATTCACATTTACAGAGAAAAAAGCTGCACTGCTTCAGCCCTTCCAGCATCCTACCATCTGTTTCAACCTTCTTCCAGAGCCACTCACCCTGCAAATAAGTTGACAGAAGAAAACATAACTCTGCCGGAGTCAATTCAGTTCAGTCGGCATCTTCCCTTAAATCCACGTTTTATGGGAAGTTTAATTTGCCTGCCTGAGCTGAAGCAGCTCAGGTGCAGACATGTTCCTTCCTGCCACCTGCCCAGCAAGGCCCAAGAGGAAAAGGAGCACCCAGAGGCAACTCACAGTAGCAACATAGCTGAGGTCATCAGCCAGTTCCTCTCTGGAACTTGTGATCTTGTGCATCCACATGAGATTTGCCATTTAATGACAATACATTTATTTCACAAATCCTGCTGTGTTAAATGTGTCACTCAGGCCCCATTTTGCTTTCCTGTAACCTACAGAAACAAGACCCTAAATGACCATGAGCATAAAAGGCTCTTATTTCTTTTCAAAATGTATACCTAGCTAAGTGCAGCAAGCATGAAATATGTTAGTTCTGCCTCTATTGCACAAATAAAGAACTTTACACACATGTAAATACAATGGTTCAACTGGCTACACACTGCAACAGATCTGCCCTTCAGTTACAGATGCTATCCTTGCTCTGTGGAGAGGTAATTTGTTTTCTAAGCTTTAAATGCAGCTACCTTGATAAATGAGTGCTAAGTAGTTTGGAAAAATACACATCTCTGTGTACTGGTGCAAGGCAAAGAAAAAAACCAAAATGTAACACAAAGCCAAATGTACAAGAAAAAAGAAGAAACAGCTAAATAACTCAAGGTTAGGGTTAGAAAAAAGTTCCAAGGTAAAGTAACATACCCAAATTTCAAAGACAAATTCAGTAATTTGTGGTGTCTCATCTTGAACAAGTTAAAATAGGCATAGTTTTTAAGAACAGCTCAGCACAGCATCCCTCTTAGGACCCATAAGTGCTTGCAATCATTCAAATTACATTTAATAAACAAGTTACAGAAATACAACTGCTTGTTATTTGCAATCTCTTCCTTTGGAAAGGGAGGGAAGCAGGACTTATAAATATTTTACCTGCTTGAAAACTCAGGGTTTGTTGTTTTTCTTTTAAGCAAATTCTGGCTTATCTCTTTGAAAATGAAAAAGAACAGTGAAATGATAAAAGGAAGAAGTGGTGATGCACTTGGAGTATATGAGAGATAAAAGTCAACAGAGAGAAGGGAATAAAACCAGCTGAAAGCAGGAGCTGGAAAAAGTAGGCAGGAAAAAAGCACAAAAGCATAAATATAAAGAAAGAAAGATTACAAAGGCATGACTCAATGTCAAAAGCTATACAGGTCAAGATGTGTGACATACATTTGCTTTTGGAGACATAGGATTTGCTGACTCTGAGAAATGTATTTCTTCCCTGAAGAGTATTCCAAAGCACATGAGATACAGCTCTGGATGTACGGATATCAAAAGTAAAATAGAAGGGAGGGAAATCACACTGAAGGAACAAACAAAGCCAAAGTATAAAGGACATGCCAGCATGTTTATGTTAGCACGATGCTTTCCAAGGAATTAGCTGTCAAAGTAATCTTTCCTACTTCCCCCCTTCCCAGCCTGTAACTGGGGAATTACCTGAACCATGAGTACCCATTTTCAGGTTTCCAATACCAAAGGGAACAAAATAATTTATTTTCACTGTAGCAAAAAAAGAACAAACATTTCCAAGAACATACAGGTCACGTTCCTCTTCAATGGCAGTCTGACCTTATGTTTCAGGGCACACGTTCATTTACAAACCATTTGCTCCACAGGTACATAAAGGATTGAAAGACATTTCTGTCATATTCAATAAATGGCTGGTTAATGAGGAACACCATAATCAAATCAGCCAACAATGGCAGTGACACTTAACACTCAGGATGTTATCACTGATCAATACACACTACTATGAACAGACAAAAGTAGAAACTGCTTGAAAGTAACACTCTTCAGTAAGAGACTCCCCTCTTTCTAACATAACATTAACAAACCCCTGCAGTCTAACTATCACAGACATACTGAACACCATTCTCACAGTCTTTAGACTGGGGTTTTAATTCGCCTTCAGAGGATGAGTAATAATTTTTCAATGCAAGGGCTTTCTAAAGACCAAAATCTACCTTATCATTATAAAAATGAAATACCATTGTCACCTTCTACTTTGATTTTCCTTAGAAGTGCAAGTGATACAAGAGTGACTCAAGACCAGTACACAGAGAATTTATATAGTTCTGTTATATAAAGTCCAAGATTCCTCCCTGCTTCAAGACTGCCAGTAAGAGTAAGCACCAAGTATATATGAAAATCCTTGACTAAAAATCTTGTCAATCACAGATGGTTACACTGCAAATATTCTCAAATACTCGATGGAAGTTGCAGAATTCAATTCTGGTAGAGCATGTAGCTCACAGTAGTGATGAAATCAGAACGTGATGAACAGCTAGCAGCTCATCCTGTTTTAGAAGTTCTGAATCAAGCAGCTGCAAAGAAAATTTATCTCTGAAAGATCAAAGTGTTAAAACATATAAATAAATTGCAAATGGTGGCTTAATGAATCAGTTTTACAGTCCTGATTACAAAACATTATACGTTCAATGTTCTGGTATCTGCAGGAAGTCCAGCAGGCTTCAGAGGCTGCGCTGAAGGTGATGAGACTGCACACAGACAGAAGTGTCAGCCCACATAGAAAAGCTTTCCAAAAGCTTAATCATAGCAAAGAGCAGAGAGTAGCACCCAGTCCTAATGCAATACTATCACACTATTAAAGGTTACACCTTTAATACCCATTTAAAACCAGGAAAGTAAACACACTTGCAGTGTGGATACCATCATTGTCTGTGTTACTTCAACTACTCAAATGATACTTAAGCTGCTTCATAATGTCTGCAGGAGAATTTACATTTAATAAATCCCTCTAAAGTAACCTGGAGACCACTAATGACAGTTCATCTACTGAGCTCACATATACATTTAGCCACTGGTTACCTCCTGAGCATTTTTACCTTCTTTACTGCTACCACTATTGTTAAGATGATCTGCATTTAACAGGCACAATTTAGGGTTTGTTAATGTCCTTATCTTCTGGCTTGAAGACACCAAGTAACGAGTGGCCTTTGGTTTTCAACTGTACTGCTAAGCAAAACAATTTCTGGAGGCAGCATTGAAGCTTAGTTATACATAATAGTTCTTATTGCAGAAAAAAAGTAATTTGAAGATATTTTACTGCCACAGGTCAAACCACAATAATTTAAAGCAGGTAAAGGAGCACTACTAACCCTTCACAATAACTCAATTATTCTTATGGGAAGTATTTTAGCAGTGTGAACTTCTTTGTACTTGGTACCTAAATAAAAGTAAGTAAATAAAAGTTACACAATATTGCTCACATCAAGTGCCTAATTCTTTACTGCCATGTGTAGTTAACTACTACAACATAAGAGCAAAAATCAGTATATTTGATTTGCTGTCACTGTGTGTTCACTTTATATAGATGAAAAGGACTCCAGAGCTACAGAGAAAAAGGCCCTAGAAGGATGCCAGAAGCTTACCTAAAAAAAAAATACAGTCAAAACCTCCAAAGCAAATGTAGCTTCAACTAAGACTAAACTCCCATACAAGTTATCACAAAGAGAAAGTAATGCTGTTACCTAGTGGTGGAAAGTTAGGTACATGCAAAATTCTTGAGCTCTTTTTTTTTCCTCCTCACTTCAAATTCTCGTTTACAAGCTATTAAGAAGATGTCAAGAGAAAAAAAATAATCATGCCCAACTAATAAACTTAGGAAAAATACTGCTTTTCTTGCCTTCAGTTCTGTGACAAAGGGACAGTATTTTTCTATGTGCCAGTTTTGATTCTCAGAGCAACTGACAGATGAGGAGCCTCATAATTTCCTGGTCATCCCAAACCTGCTGTTTTACACTCCTCTTTCAACACCAGCAAGTGCTGGAAACCTGTGGTATAAAAGTAACTGCAACTTTAATTCTCATTAGTTTTCCACCGAGTATGGTAACCCAAACTGTATTGTGCACCCCTCAGGATCTTATCAGATGGTATTTTCAATTATATAGATCAATATTGGTGGAATTCTCCTAAATAAAAGCGTTAGTGTTGCTTTCAGCCAGAAAATAAATATCTAGAGGACGACAAGGGATATATGAAGACTTTTAAGTCACTTACTCAAATGCAAAGAAGAGTCCACTGGTGACCAAGATGAGAACAAGAGTCAGGTAGAAGACTCCAGTCTGTCGAGCCATCATGATCCTCCCATTGCAGAAGAATTTGTTTCTTCCAGGAAAAACCTCCCATTTTCTCTTGGGAACTGATTTCTTTTTCTTATGGGGAGACTCCATGGGAGACGAAGAGCTGTGTGTGCTGATCTGACTGTATTCACAGTCTTTCATGGGCCCACTACCACCTCCAGGAGTCATCAAGAAAGAGTAAAATGTGGGGAGAACCCCACCAAAAATATATACAAATATATATGTGCAAATATTCTTCTGACCAAGAGAGCCCTCTCCACCAGCCCCAGTTAATAAAAAAAGCAAATAAAACGATGAAAAGTCCGCTACCAGACTAGCAATAGGTGTATCATGCAAACACCACTTAACTCTTCAGAAACCAAAGCTGTCATATCAGAAACGCTTGAGAGGGATCCTTCCTTCCTCCACCAGTTATAAAACAGCCACGTAGGACAATCCTTTTAAAAACAACTTATCACAAAACAGGACAAAAAGAAAAAAAAGAAAGTAATGATAAATCAGTTAGGCTCTCAAAAAAAAAAAAAATCAGTCTTTTTACATCAAGTTTATTTTCAAATGGGAAGGTTTTTTCCTTCCCACGCACACCCTGAGAATTTTCTCCGAGGGTCAGAAGGTTGGTCAAGGCAAGTTTTAGCAATCGAGTCTATCATTCATAGAGATTTGTTATAATCCTCCTTTGCGCAGCAGATTCCACTGCTAAAAATGACCATTCCTAAGACGTTCCCTCGAGAGACACGCGAAACAAATCATTAAGGGGGAGGGGAGGGAAAAAAAAAAAAAAAAGAAAAAGAAAAAAGAAAAAAGGCAAGTAAGGAACCAGGCTGCAACTCCAGCTTCCGAAGAACACTTGAAGCTCTCCTCTTCCCGAAGCCGCAGTCCAGCGGGAAGCGGCCGCCGCTCCGCGCAGACCGAGGGGCGCAGCGCTCCCCTGTCACCGCTCCACAGCAGGGGATTCTCCCGAGCCCGCGGCAGCCCGGGGCACGGCCGCTCGCCGACAGACACCAGCGCTTCGGGAGCGGGTCCTCCTCATCCTCCCTGCCCGCGCCTCCCCTACACAACAGGTCCCCGCCGCCGCCTCATGCTCCCCAGCGCCTCGGCCCCGCGGCAGGGAGAGTGGGAGGCAAGGGACACGGAGGCTTCTCCGCCGCTAGATCTCTGCCAGCACTTCTCCCTCCCCGCACCATCCTCGCCGCCCGGCTCAGCGCCGCCGCTCGCACCCCGCCCCGCCGCAGGCTCTCGCCCACGGCCCGCGGCGGTGCCGGGCCCCCCCCCGCATCCCGCCCCCTCCCCTGGCGCACGGGAGCGGCTCCCCGCCGGCGTCCCCGGCTTCGCTGTGCTCCGGCCCCGCAGCAAGGTGAGAAAAACGCCCGGCTTCCCCTTTCGCGAACCGGAAAGCTGCGACTTTCTCTTCACCCTTCTTTACGAGCCTCTATCCAGGTTTCCCCCCGGCAGCCAGACCCCGAAGCAGCAGCTGCCACCACCTCTTCATTTTCAGGGGGAGGCGGTAACCACCGCAGCGCCGGCCGCCCGCCCGTCCGCCCGCCCGCGGGAGGAGCCGGCGGGGGACGGGACCACACAGGCGCGCACCCTCCGCCGCTCTCGGCCGGTCGGTCACTCAGCCGCTTCTCGGCGACAGGGCAGCAGGTCCCTCGCACCAGCCGGCCCGGCCCGGCCCTCTCCCCGGCCACTGGAGCGCGGTGACTGCACTAACTCTTCTCCATCGCCACCTCCCCGCAGGTAGCCGCCCGCCGGCCGGGCTGGAAGCGCAGGGCAGCGAGCCGGGCAGCGGGTGTCCGCGCTGGAGCCCCGCTCCCACTGCCGCCGCCTCCCGCTCAGCCGAGCCGTCCCCGACCCACGCTCCGCTGAGCCGCGAGCGGTGTGTGCCGCCAGCCCCGGGCGGCAGCCGCGTCCTGCCCCGCTCCCACTGCCGGGCCGAGGGCGGGCAAGTCCCGCCAGCGAACGGTGGACACGGAGAAGCCCCGCCCGTGCGGCCCGACCTAGCGGGATCAGCCCCCGCCCCGTGCGGGCTCGGACACGGCACCCAAGACACGCCCCTCCGCCCGCCGGGAGTTGTAGTTTCGCTCAGTTGTAGTTTTGCCGCCGGAGGCGGGACGGCGTCGCGCGGGACTACAAGCCCCAGCATGCCTTCCGAGCCGTCCTGGCGGGGCGGGGCCGGGCCGGGCTGAGCTGCACCGGCGGCTCTCGGCGGGCGGAGACTTTCCCCGGCCTACCCCGCATCCGTCGCTCCATGCACTGCCCCGCTTTTCCCCGGGCAGCCGTACGTGCCCTCCCCCGCCGCGGAGGACCGCGTCCGAGTTTGTCATTCAGTCAGGCCGGAAGGCCGGCGCTGGAACCCTCAATCCGTCCCGTCGGGAGCCGCGTCGCCCCGCTGCGTTCCGGGTCAGCCGGTGTAACTCAGAGGTGGTTCCTCTCCTCTCCCTCTCCTCTCCCCCCCGCCCGAAGCGCTCGGCTGGCCCTGCTTCTCCTGCGTGCCAGTGCTTCCCTGCTCCAGCGGCGGCATCCACATGCTCCATTCTGCTGTTGGAATCACAGAGACAGCTAGGTTGGAAAAGACCTTTGAGAGCATCATGTCCAACGTATGAAGTAACACCATCTTGTCAACTGGACTATGGCACTAAGTGCCACATCTAGTCTTACCTTAAAAACACTTCTAGGGATGGTGACTCCACCACCTCCATGGGCAGTCCATTCCAATGTTCAGTCACCCTTCCTGTGAAGAGCTTCTTCCAAATGTGCAACCTAAACTTCCCTTGGGGCAGCTTAAGACTGTGTCCTCGTGTCCTATTGCTGGTTGCCTGAGAGAAGAGACCAACCTCTATCTGGCTAGAAACTCCTTTCAGGTTTTTGTAGGGAGTGAGAAGGTCTCCCCTGAGCCTCCTCTTTTCCAGGCTAAACAACTCTATTTCCGTCAGCCACTTCTCCTAGGATTTGTGTTCCAGACCAGCCTTGTTGCCCTTCTCCTTACATGCTCCTGATCTTAGCATCCTTCCTAAACTAAGGGGCCCAGAACTGGACACAGCACTCAAGGTGCTTCCTCACCAGTGCCAAGTACAGGGGAAGAATGACCTCTCTGCTCCTGCTGGCCACACTATTCCTGATGCAGGCCAGGATGGACATTGGGGCACACTGCTGGAAGTACAAGGTTTGTCCACCAATGCTGACATATTCATACAGACCCTCATTGTGTCCTGACTGCCCATCCCAGGAAGTACTGCGCATCCTGGAAAGGTATGAGCCACAAAGGGAAAGCTTTCCTATAAATGCCATCCTGCACCAAGGCCTTCTCTCACATGGGCACTGGTGCAGGGGTGCCTGCAGAAAGCCCAGGGAGGCTCCCCACAATTAAGGCAGAACCACTCTCAGAGCTGCTTGCTGTTGTTTTTGCCTTGTACGTTCTCCATATGCATCCAAAGAGGAGATATGGAGCTGGTGACAGGTCTGGAGCACCTTATGACGAGCAATTAAAGGAGCAGGGGTTGTTTAGCCTGGAGAAAAGGGGGCTTGGGGAGAGTTCACTGCTCTCTATAACTACCTGAAAGGAGGTTGTAGCCGGGTGGGGTTGGTCTCTTCGTCTAAGTAACAAGCAACAGGACAAAAGGAAATGCCTCAAGTTATGCCAGGGAAGGTTTAGAGTGGATATTAGGAGAAATTCTACACTAGGAGTATAGTCAAGCATTGGAACAGGCTGCCCAGGGAAGTGATGGAATAACCACCGATATGGTGCTTTGGCACATGGTGGATTTAGCAGTGCCAGGTTTACAGTTGAACTCAATGATCTTAAAGCTCTTTTCCAAACTAAATTATTGTATAATTTTATGTTAGCACTGGCATAAACTAGTGCTAACAAAGATTCATTTTGATTCATCTTTTACAGTTTTGCAATTTACTAGCAGAGCTGTGTCAGCTATAGAGAATGAACTAGTTTGGGACATGCAGTAGGAATCAATACAGTTCAAAAAAGCCCCAAGCAAACTGAGCAAACTTTTGTAAAAAGGTGGGGAACAAAAAGTTGGTTACAATCACCTGCATCTCTCATGGCTGAATGTTGTCCTAGGAGAGACAGCTGAGGATGCAGCTGAGTTCTCAGGCAATGTGTTTGCTGTTTTCATAATTTAATTTTGAATTTTGAAATGGAATATTTATCCCTTTAATACAATAAGCTAATTCTTTATCCATAAATAGTGCCTGATAACAAAGGGACCATGGAACAGACTGACCAACACTGGGTAACTTCCCCTTCCTTGGAGGAAATGAATTACTTTGGTAACCAAATTACACACAGAGTAGCCTGGTAGAGACTCTCCTGGTGATTCTACAATCCATTTTATTGATACACAGAAATAATTTTGGCAATGTTAATGATACATGGGAAAAATATGGGGGGGTTGTCTCCCTCTGCAAGGTGTAAAGAGGTAGGCCTTTGGCAGCAGGATGTAAAAATAGTTTCTGATATCATCTCTCATGAAAATGCATTGGCAGCCGTTTTCCACACATATAATAGATGCTGCTACATTATTCTTTCCCATCTCTCCTCCTCCTCTTGTAGTGCCTGTTGTCAGCAGTTTGCCTGCAATCTCATAACTTAGATATCACAGCATTTTTTATTCTTTGAAATGGTCTTTATAAACAGCTAATAACTTTTCTTTCTTTCTTAATGAATACAGCACCTATGTATTCAGAAGGCTGCTGACAGATTTTTTTTGGTTCACTGACAAGCATTTTTAGTCTTCATCAGGTTTCTATTAGCATATTGCTGGAGCTCTGTCTTCAGTGCTTTGACAATATTAATGACTGTATCATGTCAAATGGCACTGTTCTCTCCTGAGATTACGGAATGTTTTAGACATTCACAAATAGAGCTAATGGTTTATGCAAAAATGTCATTGTTGACTTATCTTCACAGGTAGCACTCAGGCTAATTTCAGAAACACTCTTCAAAAGCGAAACACTTGTAAACAATACCAGCACCTCATTCAAACTGCTGTCTCATGCCACAGTATTTCCTTGGGTTTTAAGGCATTGTAGTTGAGAAGTCAACCTCAGGCATATTAACTGAGAGAAATATGTAAAGGAATTTGAGGAGTGCTGGGAAGAATAATTCTAAAAGTCAAACTCAGAAAACAAACACACTTTTATTTTCAATAGTGAATCTATTTTGATTCTACCAGGATCATCCAGTCCTACACATTGTACTTTTCATGATAGCCTATTTTAGTCCCTAATCAGTACTAGTATTGCATTGGAATTTAAAGTGTTATCCTTAAAATAAAATATGTAAGTGTTATCTTTAAAATAAAAGATATGTTATCATATCTTTTATATCAATACCTCTTTGAAGTTTTTTTCAAAACAATTGAAAACTCCCCTACAAAAGGCACTAAATATCAATATTTCATGTGATTCAACATTATCCCTCAAAGTATTTATTGTTAATTCACATTAATGAAAATTGGTTTGAGGCACTAAATAGTTGAAATCTAACAGTAGGTAGGACAAATATTCTCCTTTCAAAAAACTTTGTAGGTTCATGTGTTGCAGTATGTGCTCTTCCGATTTCTTAGCTGTGACTCAGGTTGATCTCATGCAAAAGATGAATATGATGCAGCAATGTTACCTAGCTTAAAAGAAACCAAGACAGACCATCTTTCTGTTAGGCAAATGCTGCTGCAAATTCCTGTCTCTTACCCTGTCTACAGTGTGGAGGTGTCACAAGGGCAAGTCTTGAAACAACAGGGAAGATAATTTGCTCTGATGACATGTCACCTTACATTTATAGAATATCTGTTAGCATGCTTCATGGCAGAATCTGCTTGAATGTGTTGGAAGCAGTATCAGGAAAAGTATTTAATTGATTGAATAAACACAAAGTAGCAAACTTCAGCATTTTGGACATAAGTCTCTGTACACCATATATCCAGCACTGCCAAATTGCTTTTTGCTTCCAATCAGAAAAGGGGGCTTATATAAACAAATATGTAAAACACTTGAGGTGTCAAATACTGAACTGAAAGTCCTGCTATTCTTACAGATGGAAAGTAAGTTAGGCACTGCTGTGGACACAATTTCCAGGCACATTTTAGACACCCTTCACAATTCATTTTGAAAAATAAATGAAAAAAATTCAAACAAAGTAGCAATAACACCACTGCCATGCAAGACACTGACACTGTCTTGCACATTCCATACTTGCTGAATGCTACAGTACATCATACATGCCAGTTTACAATGTTAAGAGCAAATAATCCTTAGAGTTTTCTACAATATACCTGGTTTTCTAACCAAACATTTCCCTCCTTTTTCTGTGCTGTTTTTCAGAAGTTACCTCTCCCTGCCATCATTTTAGAGTCTTACCAACTATTTATTTTGTGAAAATACTTAATTGCTTTGAAAAAGGTTTCGTGCAAACTAGAAATATTACACTTCATAGGCACTGGCAGGAACAGAGAGTGAGAATGCACATCAGAATCTCTCTAAATAAAAAAAATAAGGGTTTTTTAGGTCCAAAAAGCTGTTAAGTATCTCTTAAGTCTTGCTTTTGAAAGACCAAGATGGCTGTCATTTATTGTACAGCCTTCTAACAGAGTGCAACATATATTACTTCTCTGCAGTGTGTGAGTTTAGAAGGCAAGATGAGGTAACAGAGCTTTTTCATTGCAAGTTCTGGAGACCAGAATCAATTTTGTATTTACATTTATCCACTGCATGTTGAAACCATATCTCTTGATTGGGGTGGTTTGTTTTTTTTTTTCCCTGTTTCAAAGCATTAGAAACACAGCTGTTTTTAAGTTAAAAAT